CTGACTACATCATGGTGATGATAGCAAACAAGAAATCGAAGAGTCAGATGGCTTCAGACCTGACGCTGTTCCTGGGCAGTAATGCAGCAGTGTTCACCGACTGGCTTCATTCAACGTTGGCCTGGTTGCAGGCATCCAACGAAATCGGCAAGGTGCCGATGGAGGCATTGCAGAGCGCTGTGGTCGAGGCGATTTCTGACAGCAACTGTTCAGCGCCGAAGGATTCCAAAGAGTGTGGTCGCCTGAAGTCTATGGCGCCCAAGAACGGCGGTGATAAGCCTCTGGCCAGCACTCGGGGGATGAGACCAACGAAGTCACCGTCAAACAAGGCGATCACGCGAGACGAAGACGTACTCGACATGTACCCTGAGATTAGAGGAGGTGAGCCATTTCATTTTTTGTTTCTTTCTCTTAGCGTTTTTCTAAGCAATGATCTCTTCAAAAACCAAAATTGACTATTTCACTTGTAATCTGTGTGAATTTAGATGACTTGGATGTTGAAATTACCTCTGCTGAGCAATTCCCAACTCGAATGACCAACGGTCATTCGAAAGTGAAGCGTTCCGTATTGATTACGAACGTTCATACAGCTGCCTCCCCTCGTGCCGCAGAAAACTTCGCTCCCGAAGCCACCGCTATCAAATCTAAAGTTGCCACCGTCAAACCTATAAAGCGACCGACCAAGAAAGAAGTGGTAAAATAGTATTCATTTTCTTGTCTCCTGCTTTGAATAATGCCATCACGCTTTCTGTGGTTAGGTTAGGTTAGTGATTAAATATGGAAGTATGTACTGTCAACACCAGCCTTGTGGTCAAAACCATTTAATCAAAACATCGGCCATACTGTAACGTTTGTTCGTTGCGCTTAGTTGATTTAAGCTTTGTTCTTTGTCTTTCTGAGCTCAAACGTGCACAAGTACTTTTATTCTTCACCTTCTTTGTCCTTTTCTCCATTTGCTGCTTCGTCAACTACCTTTCCCTCCCAGTGTTGTTTCGACACAGTTGTCTAAGCGGTTTGCTTCAAATTGGAGGTACCGGGTTCAATTTCGCTCAATTGCAATCACTGTCTTATTCATGAAGTCCCTTGAGCAAGGAATTTATCACACATTGCTTCAGGCCGGGGTTGTTCAGTCGGTAGAACGTCGAACTCTGAGCCAGTAGGTCCTAAGTTGAAGCCCTGGTTAGGGGCACTCGCCCTTCTTCCTCCTGATGTTGATGAATTATTGCAACCCTGTGGAAAGGAAACAGGAAACTACACTCCACACTTGCCACACGACTGTAGAATCTGCCTTCAAAAACGGGCACTCTTGGTTGATGGCATATACGCGAAAATCAATACTGTACCTCAGCTTCATGAAAAGAAGTGTGTAAAAATTGCCCATTGATGAAAGTGAAGGAAGATCGA